AAGGATTACTCTGTATGCTTTGTCTACAGACTTTGTTGTTCATGTTATAAAGTTTTTTGCACAGTTTTCAAAGGCGTGTTGTTCTGCTAATATTTTGAATACGAAACATTGCTTCAATACTATTATTCTTAAAAATTACTGTATTAAGAATATCTACCTTTTTGAGTTTCATACAACAGAGCACAATAAAATAAAATCATAATTTTTTAACTTCCCGAAGGAGAAGTTTATGTTTTCATCAAAAAATCCGATTCGCTAATTTTATGTTTTCTCGACGTTTCAAGCCATTCTGAATCGAATGAGACCAAATTTGGAAAAAGTATGTGTGTGTGTGTGTGAACAGATTTTTTGCCGTAAATCAACGTTTTCTCCAAAACGGATGGACCGATTTAAAAAATTTAAAAGTCATTCGATGTATCTCGTTGAGGACTAGAGTTTATCAAATTTGCGCGACGATCAGCCAAACCATTTCTTTGTAAATCGCAGAAAAGTGAAAAAAATTTCGTGCACGTTTTAGGCCGCAATTCTCAATCGATTTGGAAAATTCAAAAACTGTTCGAAAGATATTGGTTGGGAATCGTGCTGATTAATTTTTGGTAAAGATCGGCCGAACCGTTTTCTTGTAATAAAGTGTTAAAAATGTTTTTTTCGACAATTTTATGATTATTTTTTTTGACGGTAGATACCTTAGTCTTATAGATCATACTAAAATATTACGGCCCTACGGCAAGTCGTTTAATTTTCAAAATTCTTCAAAGTTTACAAAAACTAATATCGTTTTTCTGGCACTTGTCAAAATAAGACCTTTCATCGACGTTTTCTCAAAAACGCCTGAACCGATTTCAAAAATTTAAAAGCCATTTGATGTATCTCAATGAGGACTATCGTTTGTCAGTTTTGTGCTGTGATCTGCCAAGCCGTTTTTTTGTAATTTGGAAAGAAGTGTTAAACTTTTCGTCCACATTTAAGCTTATACTACCGAACCGATTTTAAAAAATCGAAAACTGTTCGAAAGATATTAGGTGGGAATGATACTGATTAGTTTTAGGTGAAAATCTACCGAGCCGTTTTCTTGTAATTAACTGTTGAAAAAAAATTTAAGCCGATTTTCATAAAAATTTTTTTGGATATATATCATGATCTTATAGAACTTGCTGAAATATTACGGTCTTACGACAAGTAGTTTACATTTAAAAATTTATCAAAGTTTGAGAAAATGAGTAGTTGTTTTGACGTTTGTTAAAATATAAATTAGACGATTTACTTGGTATAACGATAGAGTACTTGATCTCAATGAACATACTAAACCATTAAAGTCCTACGAAAACTGGTTCAATTACAAAAATTGTTGGTTTTTGAAAATTTGCTATTAGAAAATACTCCGAGTTAACGTGTTCGTTCGTTTTCAATTATGTGTAATAAATCCGCTCGGAATATTTTTAATCACTCATAAATTAATTTATTAACTTCCCGTAGGGTAAGTTATTGTAATGGGCCGAAAATCGGAATTGAAAATTTTTACATTTCTTGCCGTTTTGAAGGTTTCTGAACATTTTGGCATACCTCAGAAAAAATGGATGTGTGTGTGTGTATGTATGTATGGATACAATTTTTCGTCCACGTTTTCGGGCGTACGGATCAACCGATTTCAATGGTTCATAAAACATTCGATTCCTATCGATAAGGAGATGTGCTGATTAGTTTTTGGCGAAGGCAGGTCCAGCAGTTACGGAGATAAAGAGCAACGAGTGCAGAAAATAGAAATCGAGTTCTTGAGAGAACAGAGCATCCGATTTAAATGATCTAAAAAACATTCAATTAGTAATGATTGGGAGAAGTGGTTATTAGTTTTTCGCAAAGGCAGGCCCAGCAATTTCGAAGTAACAAAAAGCAGTTTTTGAGAGAACTAAGCGTCCGATTTGATTGATTCAAAAAAATTTCTGCTTGTCTTAACAAAATAATAGATTCTGGAAAAAAAATTTTGTTTCAACTTTTTTTAACTTCCCGTATGGCAAGTTATAGTAATCGCAAAAAAATCGAAAATGAAAATTTTTGCATTTCTCGACGTTTCGAAGGTTTCTGAATATTTTGGCATACCTTAGAAAAAATGAATGTATGTGTGTGTGTGTGTGTGTGTGCGTGTGTGTATGTATGTGCGGATACAAATTTTCGTCGACGATTTTGGGAACACCGACGTGCTGATTAGTTTTTGGCAAAGTCAGGTCTAACCGTTCCGAAGATACGGGGCAAAAAGTGCCGAAAACGGTAACTCAGGTTTTAAGAGAACGGAGCGTCCGATTTTAATAATTCAAAAAACATTTTACTTGTATTGACAAGGTGAACAACCGATCAAATTTTCATAAAGGCAGGTCTAGCGGTTTCGGAGATCTAATGAAAAAAGTAAAAAAAATGCCATTAGGCGGTCAAAAATGATCATTAGACATATGCACATCAAATTATCAGATATTTTATAGAGATTTTAACAATAAGTATAATTTTGGTTTACATTCCTATGGGTTCCGTACCAATGTTTACGCGTTAGACGTCGACGCGGCGCTTACGCGGTTTGATATTTCGTCTTTATGCAGTTAAAGCAGTACGATTGCTTTGAAAAAAAGTTTAGATCTTTCAAAATATGTCAAAATAAAGAAAACATTTTTTTTTTCAAAAAAAAAATAAAAAAAAAATTAAAAAAAAAAATTTTTTTTTCAAAAAAAAGTAATTTTTTGTCTAATTGTTTGTCAAAAATCTTATTTTTTCGAAGTAAAATTTTTTCAAAAATGTTAATCGTTTTTAAAAAAATAATAATTTTTGGTACGGGAAGTTCCAGCAATTTGCCTTAAGGCACGATGCCTTAATTGCCTTAAGACACAATTTCACTTACAGCTAGTTTTTTTTTTTTTTAATTTTTTGTATATCGAAAATAATTCAGATTTTATTTTTAATTCTAATATACTTTACAAATAATTTCAACTTTGCAATTCAGTTTATATAATTCTTATAAATATTAGACAATGTTACAATATTTATAATAATCTATTTGAAAACATTCAGTATTCCTCGAACATTTCGTTACGGTACGGGAAGTACCAGCAATTTGCCTTAAGGCCCGATGCCACCCACCCCACTAGTTTTTTATTGATTGAGTCGATAAGTTATTACACATATCGGGAAGTTCATGTAACTTGCCTCAAGGCAGAATACCAATACCGACTAGTTTCTTAAAATTTTTGTAATTGTAAAACTCAAATTTATATTAATATACGATCGTATGTATATGTACGTGTTGGAATAAAAAATTATATCTAGTACGGATCTTGTGAAGACATCTACAAAGGAGTGAAATTGTAATCAAGCTCGGTATAAACTATTGGTGCATGGCATGGCATTTTTAAATAATTTCAAATAGATAATTTATTATAAATACATACTATGAATTTATAAGTGCTTATTGAGCAACGAGCGTATTCTACAAACAACTTATGTATATGTTAACAAGAAATTTCTTCAATTTTATTTAAATTTGATTTTTTGATAATTTTGAAAATTTTTTAATATGTGTGTGTGTGCGGATACAAATTTTTGTCGACGATTTCGGAAACACCGATCAAACAATTTGAATAATTCAAAAAACATTGTATTCGTATTGATAAGGAGACGAGCTGATTAGCTTTTGGCGACGGCAGGTCTAGCCGTTCCGAAGATACGGGGGGAAAGTGCTAAAAACGGTAACTCAGTTTTAAGATAACGAAGCATCCGATTTTAATAGATGAACAACTGATTAAATTTTTTGAAGGCAGGTCCAGCGGTTCTGAACTCTCAATAAAAAAAATAAGATAAAACTAGCTGTAAGTGGAATTCTGTCTTAAGGCAAATTGCTGGAACTTCCCGTACCAAAAATTATTATTTTTTTAAAAACGATTAACATTTTTGAAAAAAAATTACTTCGAAAAAATAAGAGTTTTGACAAACAATTAGACAAAAAATTACTTTTTTTTGAAAAAAAAAAAAATTTAATTTTTTTCTTTATTCAATGTTTTCTTTATTTTGACATATTTTGAAAGATCTAAACTTTTTTTCAAAGCAATCGTACTGCTTTAACTGCATAAAGACGAAATATTAAACTGCGTAAGCGCCGCGTCGACGTCTAACACGTAAACATTGGTACGGAACCCATAGGAATGTAAACCAAAATTATACTTATTGTTAAAATCTCTATAAAATATCTGATAATTTGATGTGCATATGTCTAATGATCATTTTTGACCGCCAAATGGCATTTTTTTTTACTTTTTTCATTAGATCTCCGAAACCGCTAGACCTGCCTTTATGAAAATTTGATCGGTTCTTCACCTTGTCAATACAAGTAAAATGTTTTTTGAAATATTAAAATCGGACGCTCCGTTCTCTTAAAAACTGAGTTACCGTTTTTGGCACTTTTTGCCCCGTATCTTTGGAACGCCTAGACCTGCCTTCGCCAAAAACTAATCAGCACGTCTCCTTATCAATACGAATCGAATGTTTTTTGAATTATTCAAATCGGTTGATCGGTGTTCCCGAAATCGTCGACGAAAATTTGTATCCGCACATACATACATACACGCACACACACACACACATACATCCATTTTTTCTAAGGTATGCCAAAATATTCAGAAACCTTTGAAACGTCGAGAAATGCAAAAATTTTCATTTTCGATTTTTTTGCGATTACTATAACTTGCCCTACGGGAAGTTAAAAATATCATTTGGCGGTCAAAAATGTTTATTGGACATATTTACATCAAATTATCAAATATTTTATAAAGATTTTAATAATGTGTGATTTTAATAATTACATTTTATGTAATTTTTTTTGGGTTCCGTACCAAGATTTTCAATTACGGTACGGGAAGTTCCAGCAATTTGCCTTAAGGCACGATACCATGCACCCCACTAATTTAATATTATGATCGCGAATTTACTCTCATATTTACATTATGGGCATTTCTATATTCCAGACCCACAGCCAAATCTGACTACAATGCATTCTGGCATCATTTTCGCATATTGGGATTCTGTTTATCCTTCATGAACAGCTGTGTAAATCCGATGGCTCTCTACTGTGTCAGTGGCGCATTTAGGAAATATTTTAACAGGTAAACTTATATATATATATATATATATATATATATATATATATATATATATATATTGATGATTCTGAATTTGATGTTGACATATGTATTAACAAAGTCTAGTAAACGGGCATAACATCAATAAAAAACATGAATTTCTTTCAAAAATTTATTTTAAATCCATACGTTTTGTCTATAATCCTAGCCTTCATTCAGTGGAAACTAAAGATAAAACAAAAAACTAAAACAATTGCATTGGAGTAAAAATAAAATAGTAAATAGTACTTACAATTATTTAATCTTAGTGTTAAATTGGAAAATTTTAATAATCCATGGTATCATGATATGGTAATGCACTACACTATGTATTATAAACATTAAACTTGTAATTACACAATATTTTCACAACTGTTGAAGATATAATGGAGAAAAGACTTTTTAAAAAGTATTTTTTACCAAGATTCTACACAAATGCGGAACGAATTGCGAATCCTTTTGCGCGTCGTTTATATTGTTTTGTGAGAAATTTGGAAATACTATCTAAATAAAAGAGATTTGTGTCGCACAGCGTGTTAAGTTCATTTCGTTTATTTATTGTTTTATTGCTATAAATAGTTAAAAAAGATCCTTCTATAATTCTTTGTTTGAATAAATTTTGTTCAAATTGTAGTACAGTCAGGTTAGAAAAGTCCATATTGTGTTTTAAAGTATAAGTATGCTCTGCAATCATAGTTTTAAATTGCCTTGGATTTTTTTAATTGTTTTTATGTTGTTGTAAACGTTTCATTAAGTTCTGGCTTGTTTCTCTTATGTAAATTAAATTACAATCTAGACAATTAATTTGATAGACGAAATTTCTAAGTCGTTCGATATTAAAAGGGGTTTTTGTTTTGGTAAAAATAGTACTAGTCGTTGTACTAAAATTGTTTACAAGTCGGAGTCCAGATTTATAAAAAAGTTTTTTCCAATGGACATACAATTCTTTAATGTATGGCAAACATATTACACAAGAATGAGTTTCTGAGTCAGGTAAATCGTTTTGTACTGTGGAATTGTTCATTTTATTCAAAAGGTATGTTCGTCTGTTACTGGTTACGGAGTTTATAAGTTTTAAGGGATAGGAGTTATCAGTTAGAATTTTCGTAATTAAATTGATGTTGTTGTCCCAAAATGTTTTGTCCGATAGAAGTATTGCGTGGTCAATTAGATTTATTATAGTACCTATTTTCATTTTGAGTGGATGATAAGAAAAATAATTAAGGTAACGTCCAGAGTTAGTTGTTTTTTGGTACCAATTTGTTATTAGTTTGTTATCCGTAATACGTATAAGTTTTATGTCTAAGAAACTTATCGAGTTCGTTGTCTCCAATTCTACTGTAAATTTTAATTTTTTTATCGACGTTATTAAATTGATCAATTACCATAGTGACATCATCTCTAGGGACATAAGTGACAATATCATCTACATAACGGTAATAAAGGGACATAAGTGACAATATCATCTACATAACGGTAATAAAAAATATGTTTATTGTAATTTTTAAAAATTGTATTTTCAAGAAGTTGTGAAGATATTTCTGCTAGAGATGGACTTGCTGGGGACCCCATTAATGCCCCAAAAATTTGATAATAGAAAGAGCCATTAAATTCAAAATACGTGTTAGAGACAATGAACTTGACAGTTTCTCTGAACCAGTGCAAAGATAAAGAAGTCAACGGGGAAATTTCATCCCATCGGGTTGTTATAGCATCTAAAATAAGGTCTAGGGGTACATTAGTAAAAAGTGAGACTTAGACGTAGTCTAATTAGTTTGTAGTTGTCTGGTATATAATTTATCTTGAGTTTTAAGTCAGTAACGAGTTTATAAGAATTTTTTATGTAGTGTGGTGTAGGGAATGCAATACCGGTATACCGGTATACCGAATTACCGGTAAACCGCCCAATTTTTCGGCGGTATTTTTTTGGAAAAAATACCGGTATTTTTGGTATTTTTACATAAGCGCTATTTGATACATAATACCCTAAAGTTTAAATTTTTCGGAACAGATTTATCTTTAAATTCCTCAATCGCATAAACAGCCATATCTTCAAGTGATTTTATAAGATAAACAAATGTCAAATATTATCTCAACTCGTCATTAAACTGAATATTTATTGCTTTCCAAAGGGCTTCATATCGTGTTACAATAAATAGAATTGGACTGATAGATAATGATCATTATCTAAACATCGATGTTTGTTTCATCTTTTGTAAAAATGTAACGGTTTTTAAAGTAATATTTGCGCCAAAATATTTTATATCATACAGATTACCCCTGCGCAATCTTCATTTTTTTCTAACTTTATACATAATAATTATGATAATCACTAAATATTTTTGCTTCTTATTACAATTATAAAATATTATTTTTTGAAAACGTTTCGACAGTATTCGTTCAGACGTTGAGCTGTTAACATCGGTGAATAAATAATCATTACATAAATATCAAAAAGTACTAATATTTTATCTACCTGTCCAGTAACCTGTGTTAGTGTCTGCATTGTGTACAAATAGATACCGTTAAACACGTGTCCCCTTGCCGGCGGCACGCAGTGTCGTATAAACATTGTGTATTTTATGTTAATATAAGTGGTTATTAAGTAAATTAACCGCATTTTTGTTCTGTTAATTAATTTAATGTCTTCATGGAGTCCGATACCGGACAATTAAAGGGCCGTCAGCCCGATAAAAATCCTCCTACATGTTCGGAAATTGGCGTGACTGTTGCAAATGCAATGAATGTGTACTATGTCGGAAATGAGAATAATACAGATTTACGTAATTCAAATAATGAGGAGAGCATAATAAGAAGTGAACATATTCCAATGCAAATTAATAGTGCTGAAACGGTGATTAAAGAGTCAATTCGAATTGAAGATTCGATTAATATGGATAATGTGTGTGACAAAAGCAATAAAGCACAAAATATTGTAATGACTGAGCAAGTACCTAGTGATGAGAATTCTAATCGAATTAACGTTGATGAAATTCATCTACCGAATCGTTTTGATATGTGTGATACTGGACCTTTTTACATTTACGTAGAATCTTTAAGTAAAAACATTGGACGTTTACACCCAATGGCTCTCGGAAAATTACTACACAGTTCACGATCGATTCCGAAAGAAGATTTGTTGGAGATTATCGTGATTGGTAACAATAAAGTCAAACTAGTTCTTAGGAACGGTAAAACAGCAAATAGCCTTTCTGACGATAGTTTATTTACTGATAATAAATTGAAAGCTTACATTCCTAAATACCTATTAATTAGGGAAGGTAAAATTTTTGATGTAGACATTAATCTCACGGCAGAAGAAATATTAGAAGAGATAGAATCAGTTATTCCGATAATAGATGTAAAGTGTTTTGTACCAAAAAACATCAACAAGCGCAGAATTAACTCGCAATGCGTGAAATTATCTTCCAGAGGTTCAATTCTGCCGGATAAGGTAGGCATACATTCTGTTAAATGCCCAGTCAGCCCATTTATTAAGAAGATTACCCAATGCCACAAATGTTGGCGTTTTGGCCAAGTTCGGGAAAAATGCCGGAACGACCTAACGTGTCCCAAATGTGCAGGTCCTCATATTAAAGACGTATGTATAGAAGATAACAACTATCTATGCTGCCTGTGCAAAGATAACCACGAGGCTTATAATAAAGATTGCAGAATATATAAAAGATATAAAAATATTAATGAATTAATGGCAACACAGAATTTATCTTTCTACGAAGCAAAAAAAATCTTTGATAACGATAAATACTCGAGAACAGTTAGAGTCAACCTTAGCAGCTTGAATAAAGATAAAGATTTCCCTCCAATGAAAATCAAGAACTCTAACCAGAGTGGGGCTTTAATAAACAATAAATTCATGGTTCTATCGGACCTGGAAGAGGAGGAAGACCAAGGCTATGTTGCAAACTTCCAGACATTTAATAAACCTAAAAGGATTCATGTTCCACCCTCAACCAAGAGAGAAAAGAATGGGGCTGTAATCGGACATAGCATAAAACCTGTTTATAAAGAAAATATGGCTGACAAGGGAAATTTTATAAACCCTAGAAAAAGATTAAAAAACAAATCAGATTCTGATTCTGAAAATGAAGTAAAATCCAATAGGAAAAGTGAAGATCCTAACACATCAGGTGGCCTATATCATTTCATTAGGCTGCTAAAGGACGTCTATAATCCAAATGATCCCGTATTGAAAAATTTGTTAAGTGATGTTTTTCTCAAAATGGTAAAAATTAAACACAAAATAGATCCTGCAAGTTTAAAAAAGAAAAAATCTAATAAGGATTTACCTGTGAGTTCAGAAAAATAAATCAATCAGTACTCCTTTCATTATGAAACAAATAAACATTTTACAATATAACTGTAGATCAATGTTAGCAAACAAGAGTAGTATAGAACATTATATGTGGTCTCATAAAATTCATGTGGCAGGTCTGTCCGAAACCTGGCTTAAAGAAGGTCACAAATATTTTGTCAAAGGTTATCGGATTTTCCGAGAAGACAGAGTTGACGGTTATGGCGGTACTGCCATTCTAGTCAAAGACAACATATTATGCGAGAAAATTAACCACCCATTTCAGTGCCACCTTATCCAAATGTGTGCAGTGATCTTAAAATTAGAAAACCCTGTATGTATCATTTCAATCTACTGTGCGCCGAACTCTAAGAAATATTTCAAGAATATTAAAGATTTAATTGAAACTATCTCCATGCCTATACTCATAATAGGGGATTTTAACTGCAAAAATTTAGCTTGGGGCAGTAACTCTATTGACAGAGGAGGCGAGGTTCTATACAACATTATTGAAGACCTTAACCTCACCATAATGAATGATGGAAGACCAACCACTATCAGCACGGCAAGTAGGAAAGGAACGCCAATAGATCTCACTTTTTGCTCCAATAATTTATATGACAAAATCCAGTGGGACATTTTGCGGGTAGCTTAGGATCTGACCATTTGC